GAGGTGATGCATTTTGGGAGGTCAAATGCAAGAAGAAAATATACACTAAGTGGCAGGACCCTTAGGAGCATTGATATACAGAGGGATTTCGGGGTGCACGTCCATGGCTCCCTGAAAGTGGCAACCCATGTGGATAAGGTGGTACAGCACATGGCACACTTGTTTTCATCGATCGGGGCACTGAGTATAAAAATGTTGGCTGGTTCTGTTGCAGCTGGATAAGACTTTAGTTCGGCCACATTTGGAGTATTGTGTACTGTTCTGGTCACCACACTATAGGAAGGATATAGGGGATTTGGAGAGGGTGCAGAAGAGGTTTACCAGGATGCTGTCTGGATTGCAGTGTGTTAGCTATAACGAGGTTGGACAGACTTGGATTGTTTTTGCTGGAGTGTCAGAGGCTGAAGGGGGCAACCAGATAGAAGAATATAAAATTATGAGAGGCTTGGACAGACTGATCGCAGTCTTTTTTCCCAGGATGGAAATGCCAAAGACAAGGGGACATAGTTTTAAGGTGAGAGGGGAAAGTTTAAAGGAGATGTGCGAGGAAAGGTTTTTATGCACTGCTGGGGGAGGTGGTAGAAGCAGACACGACTGCAATATTTAAGCCATTGTGCATGACTAAATTGATGATTTTATTAAAGGTGCCTCACAGATGGATTTTTGTTTCAATATGGATGGATCTCTGCATATTTTGATCTGCTCCCCATTCACAGCCTCAGAAAGTAAGATCATAAAATGTGGCATGATTTAGATGAGATTATAGAAGGCATGGTTAGTAAGTTTGCAGATGACACCAAGGCTGGTGATCTAGTGGGACAGTGAAGAAGGCCATTTAAGATTATAAAGAGTTCTTGATCAATTGGGTCAATGGGCTGAGGAGTGGCAGATGGAGTTTAATTTGGACAAATGAAAGGTATTGCATTTTGTTTAAACAAACTAGGGTAGGACTTATGAAATTAAAAGTAAGGCCGTGGGTAGTGTTGTAGAACAGAGGGAGCTACAGATTCGGGTACATAATAATTTTTTGAAGTTTTTGTCACAGTTAGACAGGGTAGTTAAGAAGGCATTTGGCACACTTACCTTCATTACTCAGACCTTTGAGTATAGGAGTTGGGGACGTCATGTTGAGGTTGTACAGGACATTGGTCAGGCCTCTTCTGGAGTACTGTGTCCCGTTCTGGTCACCCAGTTATAGGAAGGATATTATTAAACTGGAAATGGTTCAGAGGAGATTTACCAGGATGTTGCCAGGAATGGAGAGTTTGAGTTATAAAGAGAAGCTGGATAGGCTGGGACTTTTTTCACTGGAGCGTAGGAGGTTGAAAGGTGACCTTATAGAGATTTGTAAAATCATCAGGGGTATAGATAAGGTGAATGGCAGGTGTCTTTCCCCTAGGTTGCGGGATTTCAAGATTAGGGGGCATATTTTTAAGATGAGAGGAAAGGTTTAACAAAGACATGGGGGCATTTTTTTTTGCACAAAGAGTGGTTCATGTGTGGAATGAACTTCCAGTAGATGTGGGTACAATTACAATGTATAAGAGACATTTGGATAAGGACATGAATAGGAGAGATTTGGAGGGATATGGGCCAGGAGCAGGCAGGTGGGACGAATTTAGTTTGGGATTATGGTCAACATGGACTGGTTGGGCCGAAGGGCCTGTTTCTGTGCTGTACGACTCTATGAACTGGAAAGGTCTATTGAACCCCTTGTGGTTGTTCTGGCATTGAGTCCAGTTAAGGCTCTGCTGATAGTGGTCTCAGGTCCAGGCTTCTATCCAATCACTTCCTACAATCTTTGACACCCTATCAGTGACCAAAAATCTGTTCAAACCTGCCTTGAAAATATTCTGTTACCTTATCACTACTGCATTGGTTGGGGACGTTGTCAGGGTGGAGGGGAGGGGTGGAGTGGTAAGGTTGGGGGAGATGGGGAAGGTTTTCAATGACTGATGACCCAGGAAAGAGGAGATTCCTCCTTTTCTTCATGTTAAACAAGGGGCTCCTATTCTAGAACAGTGACCCCTGGCCATTGGATGGTCCACAAGAGGAACTGAGCAAACAAACTGGAAAGATCAGGGAAATGGGCAGTTGGGCTTCAGATGGGCCGATTGGCACACTGGGCGGTGTTAGCGTTGCCATGTGTTTGGAGACTCTGTGGTGCTTGTCTCGTTGTTTAAATGAAGGTGAGGAGTGGATTGCAAACACCAACAATTGGCTGTGATTGTTGTTGGTTTGGAAGGAAGCTGCAGAGAGAGCTGGAAAATGTTGGCAAATTAATCAGGATGGGGGCTAACTGACCTTATCCAGAGAAACATGAGCCGATAAATTTGGGGAGGACAAACAAGGAGTAAAGGGTCAGATTTTGAGAAGAGCAGAGAGGAGGGTGGAGAGCTATTGGTGCCAATGTATCTGTCTTCATCCTTCCATTGGATGTGGCCATCTCTATTTGTCAACCCATCCCTCATTACCTCTGGAACTGAGCAGCTAGCTCGGTCATTTCAGAGGAGAGTTACGAGTCAGCCGCATGGGTCTGGAGTCAAGTGTAGGCCCAGACCTGGTAATGGTGGCAGATCGTAGAATCAGTGTGGAAGCAGGCCATTCAGTTCACACTGGCCCTTCGAGGACCATCCAACCCAGACCCACCCTGTCCCTGCATTTCCCGTGGCTACTGGCCCACCTAGCCCGCACATCTTTGGACTGTGGGAGGAAACCGGAGCACCCGGAGGAAACCCACACAGACACGGGGAGAATGTGCAAACTCCACACAGACAGTTGCCCGAGGGTGGGATTGAACCCAGGTCCCTGGCACTGTGAGGCAGCAGTGCTAACCACTGAGCCACCATGCTGAGATGCACCCCCGTCCCCCACAAAAAATTGCGGTGAACCGCGAAGGTGGTTACATGGTTTCAGGAGCAAATTTAAGGTTTTATTATTTATTTATTTATTTATTTATTTATTTATTTATTAAGTTTAGTTGCCCACGGTTGCCATGGTGGGTTTTGAAACTGTGCCCCCAGGCTGTTTGGCCTGGATCATTAGTCCCCAAACTTATTGTTTATTACCAATAATCCAGGCCTAATTACTAATGTTACTCAGGGGAGGCGATGGCCTAGTGGTATTATCGCTGGACTGTTAAGCCAGAGACCCAGATAATATTCTGGTGACCTGGGTTTGAATCCTGCCATGGTAGATGGTGGAATTTGAATTCAACAAAATATCTGGGATTAAGAATCTAATGATGACCGTGAATACATTGTCGATTGTCGGAAAAACCCATCTGGTTCACTAATGTCCTTTAGGGAAGGAAACTGCCATCCTTACCTGGTCTGGCCTACATGTGACTCCAGACCTACAGCAATGTGGTTGACTCTTAACTGCCCTCTGGGCAATTAGGGATGGACAATAAATGCTGCCGGCCAGTGATGCCCTCATCCCATGAATGAATAAAGTGGGTCTGGGTGAGATGCTCCTCGCAGGGGCAGTGTGGACCTAGAGGGCTGAATGTCCTGTTTCCACACTGTAGGATTCTATGATTTGCCATCACTGACACCAGTGTGTGGGATTGCGGGGAGGTGGGGATTGGGACTGGGTGGAGGAGGGGTGAGGGTAGGTGGGTATTGGGGGGGGTGAGGGTAGGTGGGTATTGGGGGGGTGAGGGGTGAGGGTAGGTGGGTATCGGGGATGAAGGGTTGACACTCACAGCTGTTTTCCATGTTGCAGGTGGGCACCTCGGGCCTACGAGCCGAACAATTTCCATGAGGAGGCCAGGAAGATGCAGCTTGTGTCAGCCCTGCTGCTTCTGTTAGTGATGTTCACCGAGCCGAGTGACCAGCTGTTATCAACACTGCGCATGGGTCTGTCAGAGTACCTCCCCATTCCTCACCCCCCTACCGTCCCCCTCACCCACATCGTCCCCCTCACTCACATCATCCCCCTCACCCCCCTACCATCCCCACCACTCACATTGTCCCCCTCACCCCCTACCGTCCCCTCACACTCCTACCGTCCCCCTCACTCACATCGTCCACCTCACCCCCTACCGTCCCCTCACACTCCTATCGTCCACCTCACCCCCTACCGTCCCCTCACACCCCTACCATCCCCACCACTCACATCGTCCCCCTCACCCCCGACCGTCCCCTCACACCCCTACCGTCCCCCTCACTCACATCGTCCCCCTCACCCCCTACCGTCCCCTCACACCCCTA